GAATGAAGACATTAACCCATGAAATTTAAATAAAAAAAAATTAAAAAATGCATTGAAACGGGAGCAAATCTGTTTTTTGTAGTCAAAATAAATAGCTGTGTGACAGCCAGCCTCTTTAGACTTAAAATCATGTCCAAATYCTGAATCCAGTTACAGTCCAGTCATTCCTGGTAAAATACAAAACATATGCCAATTAGTAAAAGTTATCTAAGGAAGCCAGATTTGCTGAGGTGAAGATTTAAACAATTCTTCATCCTGAGCAGCACACGAGCAACAGAAGAAGGGAACAGTTTACGTTTATCAGGAAGAACCCTCTAAGACAGCCAGGCTCTGAGCCATCTGCCTCAATYGGCTGGTGTTGGAGACAGGAAACAGATAAACACTGAGTGACTGATCCAGATGTAGTTTCTGTGGAAAGAGAAACCAGAAGTTAACGAGAGAAATAATCCCATGTATTATTTACAGAGTAAAAAGAGTAAAGACAGCAGCGCAGGTCAGACTGGGTCAGTCTGTCATCCAGCCTCCTGAGTCAATGACAGCATAACTAATGGTTGGCTCAGAAACCCAAAGCCAAGCCTAACAATAGGATTGATCAAAAAGCGAATAAGACTATGGACAGAACACAGCGTGGAGCTCAGTGTCCCTTACCAGGACCTGGTTTAATGAGGGTCATCTATGGGTGGTGGTCTAAGGCAGGAGCCTTGGTGCTCTGACCCTAGCCTAGCAAAGCTGGAGTGTTGGACATGGACTGTCACCTTTTTAGTGGGAAAAGAGCCTGAGCTTGTATGTAAGGTTAAGAGGTACCAACTAGATCTAGTCAGACTCAGCTGARCTCAAAACATGGGTTCTAGAACCAGTTGATTTGACAGGGCTTAGACCTTGTTTTTCAGAGTTGGACTCCACCTGGGCTGCTCACTGTCRTCAGTTTTCTTCATAACTTAGAGAATTTCTCTGGACAGCCAGGAGTCAACAGGAGGCCAGTTCAGTGGYCTCAGGATTCTGTCTCTGCTACTTGCAGATGTTGGCATCATCTTGCCCTGATCTCCAGCTCTGGGATGAGGATCAGCACCTTCAGCTCTGAGACCAYGAGACTCATTCAGATGAGCCAGTTGAGGTGGTTTGAGGATCTGGTTAGAAAACCCTGGACACATTCCTAGGTCCTGGCATGTCCAACTGGAAAAAGAGACAGAGGAAGACCCAGGACACTCTGGAGAGACTATGTCTCTCAGCTGGTCCGGGACCACCTAGGAGTCCTGCCAGAAGAGCTGCAAGAGGTGGCTGTGGAAAAAGAGCTCTGGACTTCCCTGATCAAGACCTGACTGTGGAACAAGAAACCTAAAGCAGATGTATTTCCTTAAACTGGACAGGGTCAGCCTCACAGACAGAAACTGGAAAGTGGTTCCACAAGAAAGAGTCTGAGAACTGAAACCTCTGCCTCCTGTTCTATTTTTAGAAATTCAAGGATTCACATGTTAAAGAGCAAAGTGCTCTGTTAGTGAAATATGGAACAAGATCTTTAATTTAAGATTAAGATTAGATGGTAAAAACTGTGCMGTATGTTGGATCCCATCCATATATTAAGTCATGTTTTAACGTCCATTCTTATTCTGTGAACATTTTCCACATCAGAAATTATTGGGCCCTATTAGTGTAACCATATCAGGAAACGCTGTGGTTAGAAAACATCTTCACTGTACCTTAATCCAGTGTTGGTGTTTATCATGTTATAATCATGTACCAGTTAAAACAGCCACTCATTGACAGTTGCATTAATTGTTTGAATTTGTACTTCTGAACCACTCTTTGATAATTCAGATTACTCCAATCCCTGCTGTTATTTTTTTAAATCTGGCTGGTTCTTATTCTCGACATTAATAAAGATGGTTGGTACGTGGCATTGCTTCCTCCTCCTAAAGCAGTGATTCCCAACCAGGGGTACTTGTACCCCTTGGAGTACACGAGCATATTACAGGGGATACGTGGAAAAWTTTCCCAGGTGTGTAAAAAACATTAATAAAAATAGGACTGAGATATGTAGGACCCTATGATTCCCATGATGTGGAAAATGCAAACGGAATCAAGAAATTGACACAAAATGGAATCCTGTATAAAACATGGAATTTGCTCATTTGCGGTATTTGACGTATTTTGGATGCTGCTGTTTTCTGCACCTGCTTTATTTAATTACTTACTCACTTTCAAGGCAACATTTTTGTCTTTGTTTAATTTGAGTTGAAAAKAATAAAACGACTGAGAATTAACCGTTCTACGGGGGGTTAAATAAATAATTTTCATTTAATAATCAGTTGTTGTACACTATAGTTTTGGAGAATCATTACGTTTGACTGAGGGGGTACTAGTGGTATGACACAATGGCTCAGGGGGTACACAAGYCTAAACCACTGTCCTAAAGCATCATCCAGGGACCTTGTAGCCACAGACAGAAGCAACATGCTTAAGCCTAGTAGCGGTTGAGGTTTGTGACAGTTGTCCCTTCTGATTGGTCACAGTGAACACCGGAATTGTAAACCACACCCACTCCAGGATGGGCTCCATCATGAGCACAGGAATTGTCCAAGGTAAGTCAAGTTGTCATTGCTCACGYGGGGGTCTGTGGAGGCCGTGCTGAGAGCTGTGCTTTGTTTCCTCTCCCAGGAGCCACCACGGGCCAGTCGGGCCCCAGCAGCAGCGGTACTTACTACCCCATCACCAATCAGTTCACCATGGGAGGCGCCGCCATCTCCATGGCCTCACCCATGGTCATCCCCAGCAACACCATGCACTATGGCAGTTAAGATGCAGCTGTTGCAAGGACCTGTTTGAGCTCCCCGACCCCACCCTGCATGAYGAGAAGTTCCCCTCCCAACCCCAATGGAGCCACCAACCAAAACCAGTAAACCAAAACCAGTGCGTGCTGTGCTGCATTTTCTTCTCTCGTTCATCAGCCCCCTGCTTCAGTCTGTCAGTAGATCAACAGAACAGTCTCATATCCGTCCACTCTGGTCCTGCCCAACGCAGACACCTTTACCCCCCAACTGTATCTACTGCTACTCAGTCCCTCCAGACACTGTTCCTGTTTTTAATGTGTCATGAGCCGTTTGTCCTTGCCTCTGAAACCAGCATCAGCCCGTTCCCACGATGCTTCCTGTACACCAGTGACTCTGACGCTCCTCATCTCATGTTTGTTTACATTGTGGATTTAATTTTCAAGTCCGGTCTGCACTTTGATCAGCGCCTTGATTCTGAAAAACAAAAAACTGCTCGTTCAAATATTCATCAGAAACTGCATCCCCGCTGTCTGCTCCTGCAGGTGGAGTTCACCAGGCTGCTTCTCCATCAGGGCATTTTATTCTGTTAGTGGGAAAACATCATGCTGCTCACCTTCCATGCTGAGTCCAAACTCATCTGTAGGCTTGGTGTCAGATCTGAAAACAGAGGGTTCATCTGTTTGTGTTCAGGAGAACCAGCTGTTCACACTCATGTCACAGTGAGCATCAGGTTTTTTTTACATCACAGCTCCACTGTCTTCAGCAGCCAGTTGATGTGATGTTCATGTTACAAGTCTCTGTTAGACCAGAGATGATGGCTTTCAGCCAACATGTCACTGAGCTGACTGTTGGACAGTAGTTGGTGACTCAGAGGTTTTTACAGTCAGGTTTTTTTAAATCAGTTTATTTCTCTGTGAACAACTTGCTAAACTGTATTCTGAGCTGTTTCCCCACGTTGTAGCCACCTCAACTCATGTGAAGCTGTTAGGCAGGGCGGTAGAGGTTGTCTGAAGAACTAAAGAAAGGAARGACTGGAAAACAAGCACTGTTCAGAAACAATTTGTCTCTAACAGGTGTTTAGGAAACAATGAAGCACAATAATTCTTGAGTTTATCTACTTTAAGTAGACCTAATCATTACTTGCCCTCACCTTTCTGATGGACATTAGCCTCAGGTGTCAGGATACAGCTTTGATCATTTACAACAGATGGGTTCAGGATCCCTGCAGCAAATTTATTTTGAGAAAGTTTGTCACAAATATGTAAGTAAAGCAACAAAGCTGTAAGTCTGTAAGTGAAGAAATCTAAAAACATTTAGTCGTTTTAGAGACACTTGTTCATCAGCTAGTCTCCAACACTGACTGCTCAGCGACATGTGGCTGGAGGAGAAGAAGCTGAGGTTTTGTCTGAGTTGTTTCAGCAGATCTGAGTAAAGTTGATCATCAGATGTCATAAAATCTGACTGGATGATTGTTCAGTGATCAGGACGATCATTTTAAACCTGTTGTAGGCGGTTTCTTTTCTGATCTCAGTTCTARAACCTGTTTATATTTAAATCTGTAGAAGTTTCTCCATCTCAAAGTGTTGTTGAACAGTTTGGTTCCTCTGAGTTTTGAGACATGTCAGATTATTAAAACTCATCATGGAAGGTGGCTGACATGAAACAGCTGTTCCAGTGTGAGCTGAGCGGGTGTTGGAGCATGGTCCTCTCTGGGACACRAGCTAGCCTGGATTGGGAACGTCCCACAGTTTTTCTCCACCTGCTTTTAACTATTAGAGACTGTTGAGAAGACAAACCCCGCCCCCCACCCACCACCTGAAAYTGACTGCCAACATATCATTGTTCCCAGGTCAGCTGACTCCTGCATCCCGTTTATCAGGAAGGGAATGAGACTCTGACACTTTTATGCATTTTTCCCTGGTGTCACAACTATTGGGACTTGGTTTAGTACGTTTTACGAGAGGTGAGAAAAATGTCTCTTAGTAGGAACAATTTGTGTTGATTTATTTTTGCCTTTTTTCACAAAAAAAACAAAACAAAAACAAAAAGGATGAAATTAAATGTGGAGATGTTCCAAGTCATCCTGGAATCTAATGTTGTATTTTAGTTTGTTCCTCCTCCGCAGTGAAGCAGATGTGACAGCAGTGTGGTCGTTTCATCACACAACTCTGTCGTTCATCACTGACACACACTCAGCTGGAGCTCYTGCCACCAACAAAACATCAGAATTATTCAATCCAATGAACCTGTCCAATTAAATTATTTATTTAACATTTTTAAAGAAAAAGTTCACAAAATAAATACAAATCCAAAAAGAAAAAAAAAGATSAAATAAACACTACAGTAAAAGATCTTTTAAATCAACCATCAATGTCAACATTATAAAGGGAGGGAGGTCGTACTGCTGGCTGAAGGGTTAAATCCTCGATCCTGGTCAGAAAACGAACAGATCTCTGTTCTTAGAAGTAATGAAGGTTTTACCAGCTCATATACTGACGGACTTCATGTCCTCAAATCATACAGAGACCTAAACATTAAACATGTCAGTGAGGAGACATGTCTTCACACAGAACATCTGTAATGTTTTTAACCTTCCAGAGACTCRAAGGTTTGATTTGTGTTCAGGTTGTGTGATAGTCATCCAATGATGGATAGAAAAGTTACAAAGGTAAGTGCAACCTCGGGTGTGAAAATGTTTGGGACGTTGTGTAAAACAAAAATCAAAACAATGATTTATAAACTTATATATTCACATAGAACACAGTAAACATATTGAATGTTGAAAATAAGAGCATTATTAGTAAATAAGGTAATTTAGAATTTTAATCCAAAATGTTTGAAATCGGGTCAGAGGCAACAAAAGGCTGAAAGTAAGTAGAAATAAACRGCTGGAGGAGCTTTATGTAACGAAGGTTATCAACAAGATCAGGCCTGATAATAAAGAGATTGGCTGAATCTGTCAGAAGTAGAGATGAGAGGTTCACCAGTCTGAAAAACTGGATCGTGAAACAATTTCAGAATAAAGTTTCACAAGAAAAACTTGTTAAAAGGGATCCATGATTAACTGCAAAATAAAGACTGTAAAAATACTGTAGGATGTTCAGTTTTTATCGTTCTTAAACTAAAAGTTYAAAAAATATATTATGGGGCCATTTTATTTATACGCAAAGCATTCTGGACGTGGATAGGTCCTCGATGCGAGGCTGCTAGCGAGCTATATCCACCCTGAAGGTTAATCTTGGACAATATCTGATGATCGACTCTTTTAAATGAAACCAGAGAGCGTTGACAGAGAGGAGAAGGTAGAAATGACTCAGCCTGGAACTGAAAATATGGATGGAGGACAACAGAGCTGCTTCATGGAAGAAGAACCTCAGCTTAGTGTCGGGGCTAACGCTAAAGCTARCAGGCTAAGCTGAGGTTCTTCTTCCATGAAGCAGCTCTGTTGTCCTCCATCCATATTTTCAGTTGCAGGCTGAGTCATTTCTACCTTCTCCTCTCTGTCAACGCTCTCTGGTTTCATTTAAAAGAGTCGATCATCAGATATTTTCTAAGGTATTGTCCTGAAGGTTAATTTTAAGGGTGGATATAGCTCGCTTACGCAGAGGACCTATCCACGTCATCATTTACCCAGAATGCTTTGCATGTAAAAAAATGGCCCCGTCCGTGTAATATATTTTTAAAAATTACAAAACTAAACAGACTACAGTATTTTTAGTCTTATTTTACAGTTAAAATAAATGTTTATCAAATAAAGTCTAATGTTATAACTAATCAGGATTCCCTTTAAATCATCTGCTACAGCTCGTAATCTGATCAGCAGATTATTATAATCTGTATTAATCTCATACTGAGTCAGTATAAGATGTTCATGATCTTCACTGCATTAAAACCAGGTCTGGTTCTGTTCTGGACCTAAAATTATTAACTAGACAAGCCTAACATCCATCCAAACATGTACACAGTTAGATAACTAATAAAGGAATAATTTAAGGAATTTATTTAAGCTTCAATTAAAGAAACTAGGACTGTCTGTTTCCTAAAGCCTAACAGSAAGCAGAGTCCAGAGTTTGGACCAGAAAACCAGCATCTCAGTCTGGTTCTACCATAGGAACCACAAGTAAACCCTGCAGGTTTACTTGTGGTTCCTATGGTAGAACCAGCCTGAGATGCAGATAAGATCTGAGAGAGAACAACTAACCCTAACATGCTGTTTCTATCACCTGGAGGTAAAAGTACAGCAATAATCTGTTTGTTTGTTAGTAAAATATCTTATGAAACAGAATGAATTTTGATGCAAGTTTCAAAAAGTCGTATCAACTGATGAACAGCCTGATTCAAGATGGCCGCCACAGAAAAGTAATCTTACCAAAGTTTTACAGATAGTTCGGTGTGGCGGTAGCCGAGTCTGGACCCAGTACTGAGCTCACAGAATGTTGACTCTAAAGTCAGTTCTGTTAGCAAATATCTGAAAAACTGTTGGATCCGTTTTAATCATTGGCTGACATCTGCAACTGTTCAACTCGTGGACAACATGGCTGCTGCAACCAGCTGACTTTAGAAATCAATCCACAACTTCTAATTACTTTACTTTACAGAGCTAAAATATGGTGTGTAAGGTAGTTATACTTTCTATATTGACTAGTTATAATTCTTGACATGGTGAGAATTCTGGACTCTAATCTCATCAGTTCTGACTATAAAATAATCAACACACTGTCCCAGCAGAGCTGTCCTCAATGAGGACATTCACACATTAAACACTGGAGCTGAATCCACCTAAATAATAAAACTTTCCATGAGTTGTAGGGCAGGACTGACCAAAGACTGGTCAGAGCGTCTCAGTGATTGACATGAAGGTAAAGACTAAGCTGCTAGATGTTCCTGTGACTACAGCTGCTCAGACTGMTCAGAAAGTCCACAGGACTCRAGACCTCCCTGGATAWGCMYACTAGACCAGTGTTTCCCAAACTTTTTGTCTTCTGACCCACTAAATATCCATGGCTTAAACTTGTGACCCCAAATATTACTGGTCTGAGTACACGAGCTTCATTAATAACCCTAAAA